TCACCTCCCCTCCCCACACACACACACACACACACGTGCCTCTGTTCACCAGCAGTCAGTAGGAACCCAGTTGTTAGTCGATTGGCGGGATGGCTTTTCCAGTGGTAATAATCCTTTAATAATAACAATAATAGTAATGTGGTCACTCAATCCACGGCTGTTTGTGGGGGACGCTGTTGTGCGCGATTGGCTGCTGTGTTTCGCCCACAAAATACACAGTCAATTGACTTTACAGCGTGTCCCGCGAAGCGCTTTGAGACGTCTCGAAGATGTGATGAGGCGCTGTGTCAAATGCCAGGATTATTATTATTATTATTATTGATTCAGTGGCTCCATTTTGTGCAGCCGCTGATTCTGACGTGGCTCAGGGTGAGAGAGAGAGAGATCCCGTTCGAGCTACAACTGGGATTTACAGAGCTCCCTTCACACCGGACGGAGTCGAGGAACCCTATTTATCTGGGAACCTCAGTCTGCTGGGATTGCCTGAGGCTCTCTATTGCTTCTCCTGGTTAAACGCTGGACAAACCGGACACTCGGCTGACTGCTAACCAGGCTCTGGTGTCTCACACGTTCTCTCCCGAACCAGTGGACTTTATCAGCTCTCTACAGCTGGAACGTTTATTGATTGCCGCGTGAGGACAGGATAGGAGAGGGCAGGACCATCCATTGGCAGAGGAAGGGGTGCAGGGATGGGGGTGGGGTGGGGGGGAGTGGAGGGGTTAGGGATTGTGTCTCTCTAACCTTGAGCTCTTTCTGTCTTCCTGAAGAGACGTCGCGTTTCAATAATAAAAAAAGAGAACCTTGACTCGTCCACTCATCTCTGTCCAGAGGAGAGACACGAGAGAGAGAGGGGAGAGATTTGCTGTTGTCATTGAACTCCATTTCCTTCCGTTGAAATCCCTGAAGCTCTGGATCTAATACCTCTCCCCCCCCCACCCGCAGCTCAGGGGTTAGAGCTCTTGCCCCACAAGCGAGAGGACCCGGGTTCGATTCCCGGGCAGAGCGGTAAAACTTGGGTGAGTTTCCTTGTTCCACACACACATACACACCCACACGCACACCCACACGCACACCCACACACACGCGCACACCACACGAGCCTCCGTTTACTCAGCAGTGAATCGAGTGCGTATTTTGTGGGCGAAACGCGGCAGCCCAATTTGCGTTCATACGGTGTATCCTGTGAAGCGCTTTGAGACGTCTCAAGGACGCGATAAGGCGCTGCGTTAAACGCGAGGATTATGTTTATTATTAATATCTCTGGAGATGGATTCCCTCTTCATACCGCGGCTGTACAGAACAGAGAGAAGTCGCCGATGACAACCGGCCTCAGATTTTTTTTTTTTAAAACCGCTCTTAATTTTTTGGGACCCAATTGACGCGTTTCTTTCGTTAGAATTTTACCCCTAAAGATTTGATGGTTAACAAAAAGGTCATTTTACAGCGATCTTAGGTCCGGGCGAAGAGGTGGGTCTTAAGGCAGGGAGTTGGAGGGTGGTGGGGGGGGGGGGGTACAGTAAGTAGGAACAGTGTGTAGGAACCCGGTCATTAGTCGCTTTTCTGGGGGGGTAATAATTCCTTCCCCACTCCAAAAAATAAAATAATAATAATAAATTGGTGGCTCGATCCACGGCTGTTTGTGAGGACGCTGCTGTGCGCAATTGGCTGCCGTGTTTCTCCCACAAAAGCCGGGAAAGATTCCTAGTAATTGCTACGACAAACAAACAAACAAACAAACAGACAAACAAACAAACAAACAGACAAACAAACAGACAAACAAACAGACAAACAAACAAAAACTCACGGTTCTGGAACGACAAACTGATTGGGTAATTAATTCACGCAGAGAACAACAGACACTAGAGAATGAGCTAAAGACTAAATCTATTGAGGAGCTCGAATGACATAATCCCGAGCCAAGCGTTTTAGTGGTTTATTAACGTCTTTTGATCCTTAAAATGGAATTACCGTCTTTTAACTCACTCCCACGGCACGTCTGGTAATGCTGGATCAATGGACGCGAGGACCTTGGGACGTCCAGGCAGTGTCTGTCAGCCTTAACCAACAAATCGTCTCGTATTGTCAGGCCTCGCGCTCTCGCTCAGTCGGAGGCAAAACGGTCTGGGCCGAGGCTCCAATACACTGCAGTCTCAACAGGTCCTGTTTGGGACTCTTTGGGGGTCAAAGATCCCGTTGAATGTTGTCGGCCGAGAACACCAAGAGAGAGAGAGAGAGAGAAAGAGAGAGACCAACAGCCCCGCGAGAGCTTTAACGTCCACCTGAACAGGTCACAACCACAACAACAACCACCACCACCACAACGCACGTCGTTTGCACAGCGCCTTTCGCGTCAGGAGGACATCCAAGGAGCTGGACAGCCTGGGATCAGGTGTTTGGGATCAGGAGGGCGGGGGGCGGAGGGCAGGGAGGGAGGATGGGGAGGTGGGAGGTTGATCGAAGAGGAGGGTCTTGAGATGGGTCTTGAAGGAGGTGAGGGAAG